TCAGCTTGAGGGTCTGGTAAAAAGATTGGATGGCAGCCGATATACTGTAAAAAATGGACATATTTTCCACTCGAAAAATGGTCGATCTTAGATAGTATTTGCCAAACATTTGTACATTAGTTCATGCAAATATAATACATAAATAAGTCATTTTGTTCAGCGTTCGATGCTCTACCTTTTGGTATATAACACAACAAATTTCGTTAACTTTTTTTTATCTTTAAAAACTCAACTTTGTAGGGACGATTATTGATAATATTTTCCAAATATCCTCGTGTGTGCTCGAAAGTCGAATCGGGCTGACTTTTCACCAGCTCAACCAAATACGCTACAAATTTGGATTTAGAGGTTTTAGATGATGCTGAACAAGATGCGTAACACGACATTTGCGCCCGTGACACTTGCATGCATGACTCTTACGCGCAACGACACTTCTGCGCAAAATAATTTTTTTTGTGTGATAACTTGCTAGTTCTTTCGAATTTCATGAATAACGATTTATGACAGGTTTTGGTGTAGCTCTGGCTGTGGGTGCGTCTGTGGCTGTGAATGAGTCTGTTTGGTGTGCGCTGGTTTGTTCACGCGTTTGTGAGGGTGGATACCCACACATCCACATCCACACCCCATGATTCTGGTTTTTCGAAAATTTGTCATGAACCGTTATTCACGAAGTTCGAAAGAACGAGCAACTTATCGCAGGCAAAACAGAAAAAATTATTTGGCGCGGAAGTGTCGCGCGCGGAAGTGTCGTTGCGCGTAAGAGCCGTGCGCGGATATGTCGGCGCGCAAATGTCGTGGAACCCATAGAATCTCTCTTAAATTACCTTGTTTTTGTCATAGAATTTCTTTTTCTTGTTTTAGTTTTTGTTACTAAACCGGTGAAACAAAAGGATAAAAGCTTCATTGTTGATATAGATGTAAATTAACTGTGTCAGTTTTCAATTCATAGAATGAATATACAGTTCGGAAAGTGGTCTTGCGACTAATAAATAAATAGCACTTTAATATCTAACAGCATTTTCAAGTTGTTCGTTCTGTCTAAGAAATACGTGATATAAGTTAGTATCAAAGATTCTATTAGAAAAACTAAGTCAACTCATTCAGATTTATTAATTATTACGTGCATTCTAATAGTTACACAAAAATCCAATTGTCTTTTGAGTATCTGAGAAAACTGAAGCAGATTACATATATGATTCTCAAAATCTATAAGAATAAGTATTATATAGGACTGGATTTGAAAAATCTGACAAATATTCAAAATAGAAAAATGACATTTCAATCTATCTCTTCTCAAAAACTCTGCAGAGACTCTTCTGTTTTTATTATACCATATTCATCGATGAATAGATACCGTATCAACACTATTTCATAGATTTTGCATTATTATAAAGTAAAATATTCTTTTTTGTTCTTGCCTTCACAAGAATACAAATTAACCAAGATAGGAGAGGAATATTGCATCAAACAGACGAACTATTAAACAATGCAAGATGTGTTTGAAATTTAAATATAAAATTCACCATGATTTTCACCAAAATCTATGACTTCACATACTTGTCAAAGATTATGTTTGCTGACTGGATTTTCGTCATTCTAAAAAAATATAGAAATATTCACAGTCAATTTTGATAGATGAGCAATTTATGGTCACATTGCCGATTTTTTGGTCCAATTATTGAATAATGAACTGCAATAACTCTTACTCATCGAATATAGTTCTATTGTCTTACATTATTAAAATTATGACTGTATGAAGCGGTATAATGATATTCTTGAAATGAATTCACTTTATCTTGGTAATAAACCAACTGATGATATTATAGAATAAAACAAGAAGTATTACGCAACAACCAGTCAATCAATATACACTCAATGAGAAATAATTGTGATTGATATGAAAATTAACTAAATGATAAAAAATGAAAAAAAGTTAACTTGAATGATACATAAATAAATTTGAGAGTCGCTTTTTGTAACATTTTAGTAATAATTCTAAGAGATTGTATAGATTGTGAACCACTTTACATTAAACAAAAACGATTCATTTTGTTCAATATATGGATCATTTCCGAGAAAACGGGATATAAACTTTGTTGATTCGGCTTCGATTCTTTACAACATTTATTTTTCTGAATGAGTTCTTTTAGCATAAACACATGAAAATATTATTTCTGTCAGTTGGCCAATAGTTCAAATTTATTCATGGATGAATTCAAAGGTAAATACATAATATCTCTTATGTCATATGTAAACAAAAGGTCGTCAACTTTGAGATGGACCTACATAGAAATTGTATTCATGATAAAAGTTTCAAGGAAAATCGAATTTGGAAATATATTCTGTGAAAAACTGTTTTTTATGAACTCAGCTGAATACTCAAACAACAATCTTAGTCTTTCCATGATCTAGAGATTTTGAACAAGAATTTGTAGTATTTCAAGATGGTTTTGAATTTCACAATGGATTATATGAGGATTTTATGGGTTGTATATTCATTTTCAGTCATATCGCTAACAAATGAAATGGGTTCTACGTATTTCAACATTGCAGTAAAATTTTCTAAAATGGATGGATGAACTATCGAAAAAGTCATATCGGAATAGATGAAAGGAAAATAGTGATGACAATAGTGATTAAATCGTTAAAGAATGATTATTTTGTATTCGTTAGAATTAAGTTGTCTAAACAGACATCATTGTGCTTTCTCGTTATTCTCAAATGAAATATTATCCTAAAAATTGTAATTCTAGTCTGATTTTTTCATGTCATATTGTTGAATAGTGAAATTTATCAATAAATATTGATCTTGACAACAAAACATTAATCTAACCAATAAATTATTTTATGTACTGTATGGAATACAGATCGAAATACAGAATGATCGGAGAATACAGACTAAAGTCCTCGTTGGCAAATTCCAGTTTCTATCATTACTATACAAGACTCGAAATCAAACTCATTTTATAACGAGACAGTTGACGTCGAGACTTGAATTAATCAGACCTGAAATATACGTAGTCGAGATTCCTTTCAAAATCAATTTTCATTGAACATTATCTGGAGCGGTATGATTTGACATGATAAATAATTTACCAAGCATATCGATGACTGATAATAAATTGCATGGTGATCCATGAAGTGATCGCATTTCGACAAAAAGCAACAGGTACACAAATATAAATAAAATAGCCGATGTTAAAATAAGATGTTGGAAAAAATTACAAAATAAATTTCTAATGATTGATTGACGCGCTCTTATACTTATGCAATGCCGAAAACGTTTGTAGTTAGAACAATTTTTCTACCAGTCTATTTGATTGATTGAATATCTTTATGATTTAGGAACTCATTTGTCTTAATAGATACGTGCAATAAGAAGTATTACATATAATTTTATTCTTCATTCATCGTTTTAGCTACGTATTTACCTAGCATAAACTTTGATTTAGTCTTCCAGTATAGTATCATTCATGCCGCTTTTACTTTATATGAACCGTGCCAGATACTGTTGAGTTTTGTCTAAAGTCAGAATTTGTTGAGTTCATGCTTTTCTGCGCTTGTCGTATCCTGGCTTTGGGCTCAGCTGAATGTATGATATGACCATTCACTTGATTCACATCTAGAATAAGGCTTTTTTGCTGTACTGAAAAATAAAACTGGTAATGTACAGACCAATTAGAATCTCTAGAATTTCAGAATGATCTAACCACAGAGATAATTCATACGTTTTTTCCCGTTTTTAGGAAACCACATCAGATAATCTTTCTCTTGTTGCCATATGATAGTTAGGACTTATAAATGAACTCACAGGAACCTCTTTTTAGACTTACGCTGAATTTTATTTTCTTCGAAAATGGATGCCTGTTAGAGAAAAAGTCACTAACAATAGCTTCAAAATCAGATCACCAATTGCATGTGAGATTAAACGGTATGGTGTAACGACAAACTGAATGAGTAGCTGGGCGCCACTTTCGGCAATGATGTTTATTAGCTATTTTACATATCCAGAGTGTAACTACTTCACAGACAACACATTCATATATAGGAGAGAGAAAAGAGAGACAGAGCGGATAGAGAGGAAAGAGGAAAAGAAGTTCAATGGAGTATGACATCACTATCGGCACATAGGACACTACTCACGAAAAGTAACATGTGATGTCTATATACGTAGATGTATATGTTTTCGAATGTCTGAACGTTAGTTATTAATTTGACGCGACGATAGTTAATATTTATTGCATTCCTCTAACTTGTTTTGCTGTGTGTTTTATTACGTCTATAGACGTTTACAATGGTGTTCAATTTAATGAACAAAACCCATCCACTTGATCAACAAAAACTCTATCAAGACAAGAAACTATAAAAGGTAGGTATTTCTAATGCAGACTGACTGGTTCGATTATTTGTTTCTCCTTTGTTCGTAATGATGAACTTGTTAGGCTTATAATTCGATTGTAAAATTGAAGTTTGTTTTGTTCATTTTATTTACCATTGTCAATGTTCTCCATTACTTCTTTTTGTACGTTAAATGAAATGGGATGTAGTTCTTTTTGTTGTATTTATCTTTTACTTTTGCGTATATTATACTGAAAGCATACAGTAAATAAAGTATAGTAACGACAGAAGATAATCATGTTGAACTATAAAGAAGCCATACCTGAATTACAAAGATCAGACAAGAATTTTAAAAAAAAAGGAATTAGGGGAGAACACAAGAATCTTACTATCGCGACAGTTCTTGCCTAATCATCTAAGATTCGGTAAGGGTGCGGGTGTGGGTGTGGGTGTGGATGGGGTGTGGGTGGGTGTGGGTGTAAGTAACATTTGTCGACATACAGCGACCTCTTGTAATCCTAGCGACATGTGGTAGTAAATAGTTTTTATTTTTTATAACTCCAGCAGCTGATATTCTTCTTCTTTTACATTTTCACTATTCACCGTAATAATTCTCTATGTAAGATAAAAAGAAACATATAAAAAAATATAAAAGAATCAGAATGGATCATATAGTAAGTTATTTGTAATTTGTAGTTTGTAATTTTATTAATGATTTCTTTCTAAAAGGAATTTGAAAAAGATCTTATTGCTGTATTACTTGTTGTTGAAAGTGTTCATGACAAAAATAAACTTTTATATAAATATGAAGAAATTAAGACATATAAACGAATACGTAATTATATTCTTTTTTATTATCATGTAAAATATCATCGAAGATTTTTATAGATGAACCAATTTCTTTTTATACACCTTATTCAATTGTTATTGCAAAAGACTTTGATCCACCAAGGTAAAATAAAACGATAAACGAATAAATTTATATATATGAATTTGTTTAGTGTTAAAGATGATGACGCATCTCGACGGACATTTTTAAAGTATGAAAATAAGTAATTTAATTTATTTATTTTTTACTCCTTATTTGTTTCATTTAGTTTTGATGAAACAACTCTTTCAATCTTAACTAGTCCATATTCTCATGGAAATCATGTTGAAGTACAAGTTGATGATGTTATTTTTGTCGGACATACACTTGGCTTAGAAAACAATAAAAATTTAAAATCATTTGCAATATTTTTCGCACTTCGAGTACTTTCTTACTTTTTTAAATTATTCTTTATATTGATTTTTTTATTTATTTAATATTTGACAATTTAGGCTATCGCTAAAGCTTCTGTTATATTATCTTATCAAGAAATGAGTAAACGTATTGGTACAGCGATACGCTGTGAAGAACAACGAACATCCTACTTAAATCAAGAATATGCAAAATTAATAAGTGTTATTCAACAGCATGATATTGAAGCAAACGATCGATGTATAAAGTTTTCTAAATTTCAAAATATAATTTTTATGTGTATTTCTATTAGTAAATCGTGCGCAAAATGAAGATGATGTAAAAGAACGTGAAGAAAAAGATCAAACAAAAGAAAAAATTTATTCAACAATGGTTGATCAAAGTATGCTAGCAGCGACATTAAAACAAATATATATTGAGTAAAAAGATTAATTGAATGAAAACAGAACTACAGATAAGATTATCTATTACTTCTTTATCTAGTTTACAAGTGTCCGGTGAAATAAATATAACAATTAATAATTGGTTAAATGTTTCTTGTTGTTTACCACATCGATCAGTTCCTATAAATTGTCCACTAGAAACTGATCATGTTTTTCATGTTCTTTCAAATGCTGAACAATATCTTAAGTAAGATTTATTTTACTTAGTATTATCATCAAAACTTAGTTATATAAAATAAAGACTTCTTTTTGAGAGAATTTGGATTTTTGTTTGATGTAAGAAAAATGAGACAAATTATTTCTTATGAGCAAATAATAAGAATAACTTCATAACTGTTTATTACATTATTTATATGAGTCGAATAGTAGCGCACTATGACAGATCCTCGCTTGAGAAAATATTGAGGAAAACACGAAAAATCAATAGAAAAACAACAACATTGAACAAGAATACACAAATAGAAGTAGAAAGGCAATTTATAGAGACCGTAAGCGTTTGATATACTTTAACTGATCGTTAGCGGTGTCTATACATAGATTTTTCAATCAAATTTTGTCATTGTTTGTTGAAAGACTTGTTTTTCGCTTTCGTGATTGACTGTCCAACATAATGTTGTTGATATGTGGAAGTGTGGGTGCAAATGTGGATGAGTCTTCTTTTCACCCAAATCCACTCTCAAATCGTGACAAAAAAATGAATTGATCAGCTCGATCAATACTCAAATAATTGAGTTTATAGTTTGAACTAATATTATTGTGCGTCATCTGTTCAAAACATTAAGATAGAAACTGTTCGATGGCCATCTCTCCCATGGTGGAAGTGTCAGAACACTCTTATGCCCCAACAAGGAAATGTCCATGTGCAACTAACTACGTCACATCCTTATTCACTTATCTAGTATAAGAAAGTCAATAATTATCATAGGTTTATTATACATAGATACAGTTCACTATGGGATTGTCAACGATAGATTATTTATTTGTTCATATTTATTTATGTAGTTATTCATTATATTTCTAGACCATATTATGGCTTATTACTTGTAATTGATCCATCAGTCTTGCTTGCTTCTTTACCAACGGATAGTTCATCAACATTAAATACACTTGTAAGACATCTTCGTTCATCCTATTCACTGTCTCGTTTATCAATAGAAACCAGTATACCACTTTCTCAAGTTAGTTTGTTTGTTTGTTTTTCTTCAGAAATACTTATTTTTCTTCTTATTTTAGATCTATCGTCTCACAGCTCATTTACTTTATTGGGGTCGAGCAAAAATCATCTATCCTATCCATGATGATAATGTTTATATTATCTCACCTGACGCAGACATATCCAAGTATTAAAAAAATATATATTTACAATAGTTTATACAATCTTCTTTTCTATTATTAGACAAGGATCTCTAGCAAAAATGTATAAAGAAACATTTCAAAATACATCTAATTATCCGACATTACAAGAAGCATTAGCTGAATATTCAGATGCAATTACATTTTTTGATCATATATCACGTAATGATAATGAAACCGATCTGGTAAAATTTTCAATCGAATAAAGTAGTAATCCAAAACAAAAAAATTTCTTTTAAGCGTGAACGCATCCAATGTGTTGAATGGTTACTTCGTCATCGTTTGCTTATTCAAGTTCATTATTATTATTATCTTCTTTTGCCAAATGATGATCGAAATGATTTTAAAGATGAATATAAACGAACACGCTTACCTCGGTCACGTGCACAACTTGTGAGGCTTTCGTCTGAATTAGCAACATTGTGTGAGTGGAAAAACAATTTTCTTTTTTGTTTTCTTTTTCTAGCGGCGTAACCAGTATTCATCAGAACGTTTTGGATTATCATCTAAAACTGAACGCTTTTGTCTGACTAGTGAAAATATTGATATACGAGGGAATATATTGAGTATAAATGGGTTTGAATATAATATCGGTAAAGAATTATCTTTGGTTTTTGTTTTCATTTTCTTGCTTTGGTGTGATGCTTTTTGTCTGTAAAAAAAAGATGCTGCTCTACGATTTATGAAAAAAAAACAAAAAAAAAAAAATAGAGATCATAGTGTTGCTTTACGTAGATATCATATAATATAATATAGAACAACATAAGCTTTCGACTGTGAACAGAATTACCAGATGTAAAAGTTATAAATCGGAATTTCAGCAATGAAAATTCGGAACGTGGTTATTTAAGGTTCAAAGATATATGTTGTCTCTATTTATTGAAATATGTTTTCTTCTTCAAACCTCACTTACACTTATATCTGAACCCTCGAACGCATCATTCATAGATGAATCTAATTCAGTTTAATACGTTAAAATTATACATGTGAAAAAGTTCCTTTTTAAACTTAGAACTCAGTTTATTCAAATGACTTCTTTTAATAATGTAGTCTATTCAGTTAAGTTTCGGACAATTTTTGATTGAAAAAAAAATGTGTAATATTAGTAGTCTAAAAGTTCTGTCTTATATAATGATTACAATAGTATAATGAAGGTACATTAATTGCTGAAAAAAGTCGATTTCGAAGTTATAATTAAACTCATAAAAGCTCGACTTCAGTTAAATAAAACAACTTGAAATTCGGAATATTTGACAATCCTGATTGTCCAACACTACCAATTGATCATTATTATAAGAATCGAAATATTTAAGATAAATGTAAGAATTTGCTTATATTTTATCATATGAAAACTTGATGCATAATAAAAGATTATTTTTTTTTAAAGTAGGAAAATTCGCTTCTTCTTTTGATTCGGATTAAATGTTAAATTTCTGGTTACGCCGTTTGAAATTTTTTTCTTAATATACATTGTTTTTTTTCTTGTTCTAGCTTCATCTCCCATGACAAATACGTTTTCATATTCATCTACTCATCATTCTAAGTCAACAGATACATTAAAAGCTTTAGCAAACACTAGTCATGACGATGTATTTGTTCCGGCATCATTAAATATTATTACAACAGCAACTGCAGATCGAATATCATTATATCTTCAACAAATAACACAAGTTTTGCCAAATGAACGAGCTGAATATCGACAGCGTCTTGCATCAGCTATTAAAGAGGCAAAAGAACAACATGTTGCTGATTTTCTTAAGTAGATTTCTTTGTTTTTTCGATTTATTAAATTCTTAGTGTTTATTTATCTTTTTTTTTTCTTTTATTTAGAATTATTAAATATCTCAATGGAACTTATCATCTTGAAGAAATAGCTTCACTTGAAAACATGACACGTTTACAAATATTAACAATAATAGAACATTTTCAATCTATTGTTATTCCTGCTCTTCATCCTGATCCAAATTCGATTTTGCAAATATAGTTTTATTGAACATTGAAAATGCTGTGTTTCTTTTTTTTTTGTGATTTTTTTTTTCATGTATTTGTATTTTTATGAACAGTGATTTTGTTGTTTCTTATAAAGTATTATTTTTCTTTTCAGATCATTTGATGTATCGATTTATTCAAGGAGGAAAAAAAACGAAGATACACTGTGAAAAATCTTTTGATTAAAATCGACTCATTGTACGATTAAATCAAAAATCTATTAAATTAATTATAATTATAATTGTTTTGCATAATATTTCGATTATAATTAAAACATTTTTCACTTTGTAAACAAATATATAATAATTCTTGAATTTTAAATGACTAATTCCTTGATCCAATATATTAAAAGAATCAAATTGAATGTTAGTTTTTTATTGGTTTATAAACAAATTATATACTATATTGAAATGTTTATATTTATTTCGTTTTGCTATTTATCTAAAACACTTGAATCGATAGTAATCGAAAAATAGAAATGGATAATTGATCGATTCATTAAGTTTTTATTATAATGAATGATATAGACTTAATTTGAACGTTTAAGATATCCATTCTATAGGTAACTCTTTGGTTATATGCTCGTATATATACATATTGAGCTTTGCCCGAACTGCTTCTATTCCAATTATAATTTTCTCGTCTTAGTGCAGTTCTGCAATACCATGACTTCTCATACATTATCTGTCTTGATGATCTTTTTTCTGTCCTGACTCTAACATACTCTAAGAAGATCATGTTTAACGATGTAACGAAAAATTATCAGTCTTGAAGTCTACTAAAGTGCATCAAAGAGCGATACTGAGACAAAATGTCTTTACACATAAAACAGAAGACTTTTACTTCTGAGGGAATGCACTTCATTCTCAAGATATAGTCTGTAAAGTCATCGTGGAGATTATACTAATGGTAGTGTAATAATCCTACCTATTCTTTTCTGAATGCCCTCCCTGTAGGACTCAACTGGTTAGTAAAAAGAGAAACAAATAGTTTTTTGCTAGTAGAAAAAAACGTGCCGTAATCAAAGGGCTAAATAAATAGAATGAACATTTTTAATACGAAGAGTGAGATCAATTAAACTAAAAAAATTCATTACTGGAAGTGTTGTATTCTTTTTGGCAAAGCTACATCTCCTGTTTTAGATAGTTAATTTATAATGGCTAATGCAAAAATTAAATCTGATGAAAACGATCAACTTGTAATTGAAGAAGAGGTTGGCGTATTTCAACATACAATTAAACAAATCTCACCATCTACAACAGAGAAACGCAAAGACACAGAAGATACTCATGTCGGATCGCCCACCAAGTGTATGCATCATTCAGATGGAAGTCGTTTTTCAAAAATAGAAATGGAAAACAAATCATTATCTGTTCCATTTTGGAAGAATCTAAATCATCGACAATCATCATTTCAATTTGAAACTCATGAAATTGGTTCTTTTTCATTACTCAGTCGAACAAATGATAAAGAATGTTTTGAAGATAAACGCTATCGTCGTGGTAAATACTCGTATTTATCTAAAAATATGATCTAAAAATTTTAGTAGCATTAAATCTGAAATTTCAATTTAATTATTGAAGATTTCTTTTCAGATATTCAGCTATTCCGTGAACGAGAGAAATGAATAGTTGAATTATTGAGCGTCAAGTTTTGCAAATATTAGATATTCAATAATTAAAATCAACTTTTAAGTTTGATCTAAATGACATATTTTATTTTAGTTTATAAATATCCACTTCAAACACTCAGTGTTAATTTTGATTTAAAAGTTGGTGAATCAGATTTTATTTCTGAAGCACAAAGTAAAAATATTGATGCAATGCTCTGGTGGGCATTACAACATAAACAAGATATTTTCAAAAATAATCAGTAAATATCTTTGTTTTGATGTGTGTTTTTTTTTGGAATATAAATATATATCTTTTATCATAGATTTACATTTGATTTTCTTTCATGGCGTGGTGTTCTTCGTCTCATAATGTTTTCAATTTATGAAAAACATTCTGATTGGTTATTAGCTGTCATCAAATTTAAGAATGCTTATTTTTTATGTGAGTTTGAAACAGAAATGCAAACAAAAGATGAACAAAACATGACACCTGAACATCGTTCATTTTGTTATTACGGTCACAAATTTGAAGAATACGTTACTAAAAGTAAATATAAAATGGTGGAGAAAAAAGTTTAACAACAATACATTTTTGGTATTTTTCTATCATGTAAAGCACCCAGCAGCTTAGAGTTGTTGATATTTTTTAGGGATGACATGAGCTAAAAGTTCAGCAGAAAGTGCTTTGATTCTTGGAGTGCTAGAAGTGGTGGCTAGGGATGAAGAAGAACGAAATCTACTGTGAGCTGGTCTCGACCACAACCGGCGACCTATTATCAGATCGTTTTTTCTCCAGGGTCTACACCAATTCAATTCACCTTGCAAAAACATTGCCTGCTTATTTTGATTTCACTCTGTATTTCTGGCCATAGTTACCATGCAGCTGTAAAAAACGGCAGAAAGTCAGTATAGAGTTTTCTATCTAATGCATTTTATGGCAAGATTTCATAAAAACCGAACACGGTAGTTTTCGGATCCAAAATGACTTCGTGAAAACTATTTATTAAGAATACCATTTTGAAGAAAACAAAATTCTGAACAAAGTAAGAGGTCGCAACATTTTCTACGGCATTTTATTAAAAGGTTAAAAGTATCACAAAAACCGCAAAAAAACCGTTTTTTTAGATAAATTTCGTTTCTTCACGGTTTTTTTAATACTTTGAACTTTTAAGGGAAGGTCGTAGAAGATGCGACGATCCGTCCGTATGTTCACAAATTTTTATGCTCTTTAAATGATATTGTTAAAAAATATAGTTTTGACCAAATCTTCTGAAGTCTGAAAGCTACTGTGTCTGGTTCTTTTTAGAAACCAAGCCTTCATAGTTCATATATAAAATCTTTCTGTAGAACGCATTAGAAAGAAAGCTTGATTGGCTATTAAATATTGTTAAACTTTTTCTCACCAATTTATTGTTCTCCAGTATTATTCTCATATATCGTTTTTTTTTTATTCTTTAGACGATACATCAACTGAACTATTAAATCCTTCAAAACAATTTACTGGAGTGTTTCAAGCAACTATAGGTTCTTATCGCCTATTGTATGGTGCTGAAATGGATTGTATAGTGGAAAAATCATCATCGGTAACTGAACATATTGAACTTAAAGTTTGTGCTGGAAAATCACTCAATGATCTACCATTTAAACAGTGAATATAACAAGTTAGCTAATAAATTTCATGTATAACTATTTATTCTTTATAGCAATCGTAAATTTGCTAAATGGTGGATTCAGTGTTTTCTTGTCGGTAATAAATATTCTTTTTTATTATCTTCTATAATTTATTTTAAAAAATCTAATATATATGTATTAAAGGTATTAAAACAATGGTGATTGGTTTACGTGATAATAAAGGTATTGTTAGTAATCTTGCACCACTCAATATAGGAGATATTGAAAAAGCAACAGTAATATGCTTATTTTAAATTTCATTAAGTAATTAAATCTATTTTTGTATTCATATAGTGTACATGGACTCGTCAATCATTCTTCAATTTTTTTTTACTGTTTGCTGAATTTCTTAAAGAACATGTTACAAATGAATACTCACATGATCATAAGTAAATTTTACTCTATTTAAAATATTTATATAGTATTTTTTTTTAATTTTTGCTTTTCTTTTATAAAGAGACGTGTTTTTATTTCATTTTTTACCATCATCTCAAACAATTACAATGACAAAATCATCTGATTCAAAATATCATTTTCTTCCTGATAGGTTTTTGAATCAATTTATTTAAACATTCACATTGTATACATTTATTATATATATAATACATACTTGAAATATTAATGTTTTTTTTCTCGTTATTCTTCTTTTTACCATATTGAGAATGTTTATTCGATGGATGAAAGTATGATTTTTTACCACGTTCATTAGGATGAAATGGTGAACTACAACCATCCTGACGTCATGCAGATTCTTGTGTTTGTTTTCGGTTATTTTTATGTATGAAATGTTGTTGTGACTTAACACTACCACCAAAGCCTCGATCTGGAACACGTATATGAGTAACTTGTTTATTCACTATAAAATATCAATAGACATTTATAAAAAAAAATTAATAAGACAAGCTTGAAAAAAGATACATAAGCAGAAAACCAACAATAATAAAAACAAAGAATAGTTTCATTTCTTGAAACTGCAAATACACTATCCGAAGTAAAACTGAATTAAGAAACGTGACAAGTGAACAGTGAAAAATAAATTTAAATCACCTCCTTTTTGAGATAACCTAATTCTTGATGCACCAAGCCAGTTTTAGCTCGATTGAACGATAAAAGATATATATGAATAATTGGCATACATATAGATAAATAAAAGTGACCTCGCACAAATTTACTAATCATTTTGAAATAGCACAGCATAAGATATCTTAAATTTCGTACTGATCGTCAAATTCTAATGTAGTTACAGGTAAATAAACAAGAAAGCATAACAATTCATTGCACGAAGGCACACTGTATTTATACAATTTCACCGCAATACAAAGGCTGTGCACAATTCCCATTAGTAGATCAACTTTTATAATGAGTGAAAAAAATTATTTTAAATTGTGTATACTATTTGACTGATAACATAAACTTCACATAAGTGTTCAGTGGTTTCCAAAAAGTGGAGTCGAGAACTGAATGATAACTCATCTTTTTAAATTTCTTGAAATCGTTAAATCATCAGATAGATACTAAAATTCTTAAATTTATATCAAGAAATCTCCCGTGATATATTGGAAATCGAACCGAAACCACGGTTCCAGTTTCGTGTATATTCTGACACCATCAAACTCGAGTTCACATTGATCGTCTTTTGTATTTCATCCGATGTTTTTTATTGTTTAAAGAAAACACAAATGCTTTTATCATGATTCAGCGATACATCTCTGAATACATATTTTTTATTGTGTTGATCTTCTAATCATAATGCTTCGTAATTATGATCATTCGAGATGACTACTATAACAAAAATCTATTTGATTGGATGAATGAAAAGTTGTTTAGAATGCAGTAGAAAAAAACAAGAAACAGAATTGCAGTGTAATAATATTTTGTAAATAAATATTTTTTACCGATGTAATTAATCATAAATATGTTTTCAACCTTTTGTATGCTACGAATCATTTTTTTGGTTGTGATAATAGCCCTATGGTGGCCCAATTATGATTTGACAAGAAAAATAATTGACGTGTCACATGTGGACTAATAAGACAAAAAAAAACATCTGCAGGCTGTAGATGACATTTAAGACTTAACATAAATAATCTTTATCATTATGGTTAATTGAAGATATTGACTGTATAAAGATGAAAAAAGAGCTAACAGCATTTTATTTAGATCAATTGATGTTTTTATCGTCAACAAAAAAAAGTGAACTAGCAATAGTAAATTGAGTAAACAATATTAGACCTTTATATAATAAAAAAAATTATTCAGAGATAAGAATGATGATTCTCACTATTGAATATAAGAAAGATTTTCTTTACTATTTGAACGTTTCATGTGAAGTTAAACTTTGATATGACAAGAAAATAATCATTGCCAACTGATGTGCATTTATTATGATTATCCGCCAATATTATTCTTTTCTTTCTTTTCTATTTTTCTTTTGCACTTGATTTATATAAATGATGTGTACATATCTCGAGAAATCATTCTATCGCCCATATATTCGTTACGCTTACTTTAACCTGTCAAATCATATTACATATTGTCAACATTAACATGTATTCAATTCACGATACAGTTATTTCGCCAACTACAGAGACAGCATCAAGCACGAAATGAGTAATGATTGTAATGCAAAATGTCAACAATTGACTCCTCAAGATATTCTTAATCAGTTATCTGAAAAATGGAATGTTTCAATCACAAGTGAGGAATTCGCTCGTAAACTCGATGAAAATGATTCATTGCGAAGTCTACGAGATGAATTTTACGTGCCAAAAGTTGGTGGTCTACCCAAAGGTATATTCATTATAGGATAATTTTTTTTTTTTTTAAATATAAAACTCTATATATCTAGTCGATAAATCACGTACAGATTCTCAGAGTGACAGCATCTATTTATGTGGACATTCATTAGGTTTACAACCAAAACGAGTACAAAAATTAATTGATATTTGGCTAAAAGATTGGGCTAATTTGTAAAGTTTCTATTATTATAAATGTGAATGTTTTGTAAAATAATATTTTTGTTTAGAGGAGTCTATGGTCATGTTCACGGTACGAATCCATTTGCCAATTGTGACTATCCATGTATTCCAACATTGAAGACACTTCTTGGTATATTTAATCGATAAATTTCAATTTTATTTACTTTTGTTTTTTGAATTGTATAGGTGCTGAAGATAATGAAGTAGGCATAATGAATCAACTGACGACTAATATTCATTTTATGATGGTTAGAAAATTTCAATCATATATACAGAACATAATTTATATTATGATTTTGTTTAATAGGTTTCATTCTATCGGCCGACATCTCAACGTTTTAAAATTCTCTATGAAGAACGAGCATTTCCTAGTGATGAATATGCTTTTCGATCACAAATTCAATTTCATGGATATAGTCCAGAACAAGCACTACTGAAAATAAAACCACGAGAAGTAATATAAATTATTATGTGAGTACTTTTCAATCGTTTATTTTTATCATTTCAATAGAAAGAAGATTGTATTAGAACAGAAGATATTCTTGAATTACTTAAACAACAAGGTCAATCTGTTGCTCTTGTTTTTCTTAGTGGTGTACAATATTATACCGGACAATTATTTGATATTGAAACGATTACTCGGGCTGCTCAACAATATGTAAAAATTTATCATTCTTCTTTCTTCCTTGAATTTTGAAATGTTTATTTTACTGCTTTTATTTTATTTAGGGATGTATTGTTGGATGGGATTTAGCACATGCTGTTGGCAATGTTCCATTGAAATTACACGATTGGAATGTTGATTTTGCTGTTTTTTGTTCGTATAAATATTTAAATTCAGGTGCTGGATGTATTGGTGGTATATTTGTTCATTCTAATCAGTTTGATAAAGAATATCCACATTTTGATGGTTGGTGGGGTAATCGAGATGAAACACGATTTCAAATGAATACAGGTAAAAACAAATGACTTGCATTTGAAAAATATCGATAAATGAAAAAAATTTATATTTTTCTAAAAAAAAAGAAATTGAACGAGGTCTTGGAGCAAATGGATTTCGAATTAGTAATCCATCTATTCATCAGTGTGCAACATTAGCAGCAAGTCTACAGGTAGATAAGCTATATATATATATTAATTTGCATATCTTAATAAAAACTATATATTTCCGAAAAAAGAAAACTGTAAAGTAATCGAATAGACAGTTTTAGTGCATCACATAAAGTCTCAATGTATATTTCCTTGTTTATTAACAGGTTTTTGAAGAAGCTGGCATTGAAAATTTGAGAACAAAGTCAAAATTACTCACTCAATATTTACAAAATTTGATTGAAAATGAAATAAATCGTAGATATTGCCATATATATTTTTATATATATGTATGTAAATGGTTTTTTTCGTTTATTCTCTTTTAGAACCATCAAATTATTTTAAAATACATGTTTTAACACCAAATGATCCTGAGCAAAGAGGTGCACAATTGTCATTTCGTATTATTGGTGTTGATGCTCGACAATTATTTAATGAACTTGAACGATCAGGTGTTTGTGTAAGTTTTATTTTTATTTTTCTTATATTGAGAATAATTAATTGTTTTTTCTCTTTTGTTTTTCTAGTTAGACGTTCGTGGTGATGTTATCCGTGTTGCACCCATACCTCTTTATAATTCATTTATGGATGTCTATCGATTTGTATCGCTTTTAAAAATAATCAAAGTTTAAGTGAAAACACTATTTTATGTTAGTTCAACTGAAATAAAGAAGATTGTTCTTTCTTCCGCTACTTTTTGTTCAATCCTATAAAAAGAATATTCGTAAAACTTGAATCAAACACTATATATCTATTGTTATTGCGCTAAGATTTGACGAGGAATCATACAATGTGCAAATTTTGATTGTTTATTAGACTTGATATAATTTTATTGTTGACTCGCATTCAATAAGACGATGGTATATATTGATTCATAATCAAACAAATTATCATAAGAAAGACAGATAGTTAGAGTATTTGATGATGATGGTAGTTTTTATAAAAAATTTTAAATGTTTTCTTTAGTGAACTATAATGATAGAAACTTTATTTGAAGTTACAAAGTTGATTTCGTTGTATAAATCAATATTTAAAACTGGAAAGCATGTCAGCGAAAATGATCAAATTTTTTATTACTTATTTGATTCTATTTTTATAATAAATAATTTTATACAATTTTCCTTATTTTTTTAAAAGGTTAATGATTTATAGCAGTTTTTACAATAGATTTTAGTTTTTTCGTGTTGCATAATGATAAAACTGGTGTTAGCCAAACAGTAACATAATTTGTGATAGATGTTGTTTATAGGATGATGATTGCTTGCCAGAAAAATAAAACCAATAGTTTTGATCTTTGATGAAAATCACTTTGAATAGATAGTTTTATACGTTGGTAATTGTAATTCTTAACAACTAAATCATGTGTATTAGACATATATGTTGCTCATTGTGTGGTTAATATTCAGAAGTGCATGTGCTATTTCATGACGGAAGATTTTCATGTCTGCGTCTTTTTCAGCTGATATTTTGCCCATAATCAGGTCTTGGTGAGCTAGGAAAAACCTCTAAAGAATTATGCATTGTTCGAATATTTTTAATGCATGTGAAAGAAATGGCGAATGGTTTTTGATCATTAATAAAAAGTAGAAAACTAAGTTTTTTTAAAGTGAACCTAATGATAACTAGATTTTACTACAGATTTCAATATTTTTTTCTTCAATATCATCTCTATTAGAATATAAAGTGTTCATCTTCATGATTTTCACGTGAAGTCGAACGTAGACTATTCAGCAGTGCGATAAATATTTGTATTCCGTGAGAAAATCATAATGAATCTTCATGATTTATCGTCTTCGAACTTTGTAAATGTGCAACGTTGGAAAGTCTAGTATAATCTAGATATTGTTAAATTCACTCTCAAGAAAAGATGTACAGTCTCGTACCGTATAACAGTGACTAAACAACATTTTCCATTATTATCATGTGCATGGAAAATACTCGAATAATTCAAAACTCGGCAAAGAACGTCCATGAGCATAAACCTTTTGGAGACTTTTCATATCTCACTAAGATCTACTTATGGGCAAAATATTAGTTCAGAGGACACGGACACCTGGAAATATTCCCCCTTCAATTATCTACTGAAATTGAACTATTGATGAATGAATTGCATTATATTCAAAAAGACAATAATAATTAAAATAACGTCGTTGAAGATTTGCGTGACAAAAATAGACGTCTCTTTTTGATATTTTAGAATATCTATTACTTTAAACATATTTAGAAGTGTACATATCGTGCGAAAGTTATTTTACATGAACTAAAAAGTTAAGAATTGATCCATTGACAATGATATTATGAAAATATATTCACCCAAATTGAAGTTACAACCGAAAAATATGTTTTTTTTATTTCAAACCAATAGCCAAATGAACAAACACTGAAAAATGAGAAGTAAAATTATTTTTCAAAAGTAAGGAGATTATTGAATAATAATCAAGTGGTTCTTTTTAATAGTCATACAAAAAATGAATTCAATCTGCATCAAATTTTGTGATCTATAAGGCATCTTTGCTTATCGATACTTTCAATTGCGCCAGAAAAATGACCGTTTTGCCTTAAGCATTTTCTATACCGAGAAAATCTTAAACTTAATCAAGTGTGACCCCTGAATTATTCACGAATAAATACCTTAGAATAGGTACACACAACTTCATCAGCCGTTTATTTTATTTTCGAAAAGGAACAAAGACTGACTACTTGAGTACTGAAATCCTTAGATTTAGAAATGATTCATCAGATTTACAAATGCGGTGTGAAGCACAGCATTTATGTAGTCGGTCGTGTATGTATTCGGTCTCCATACTTCGCGTATTTTTTGCTGTAACAAAACTTGTACTTTATGTCGCAATGATTTAGAGAACGGCAAGTCGCTAGAAACTCGTTCGAAATTTGTCAGAGAAATAGATGTTTCGAGATGATACAACAGATGCTTGAATCTTCAATATGATTGTTTGTTTAACTTCAGTAAGTCGTGCAAAACGGTGATTCTGACAATTTGACCGTCATTTTTTACCCGAGATTTGCCATTACGTTTTAAAAAGCTATATAACTCTTTTATAATTTCTACTTTTGTTTTTTGAAAAAGGTTGCCTCAAGTCGCAGCGGAACCGCCGAGAGTAAGGTGGCCATGTGACCAGTTGAGAATGAGAGTAAGAGTGAGGATACAAATTCGAAGCTGAGCGTGAGGGCGACAGATGAGACTGAAAGGTGAAGGTAAGGTAGGTAACCTGATGAGCTGACTTGTTATCTCGTTACCTACCTTCCGTGCTTCCGTCATGACTTGTGGCAAATACTCGTTTTTTGTAATTCTTCCAATTGTTTGACTTCATTTTCGTTCAATTCGTCGCCGAAGAACTGATCAAAGTAACAAATAACTTATTAAAAATTCACAGTAAAAGGAAAAACACGTTTTTTCATGCTTTAGTTTTTGAACAATAAAAAACAAAAGATGATAGCAACAGCGAGTGATCAGTTTTGAAAAGAAACACTTCTATTTAGTTATTTGAACTGAGCAAGATTAAGTGTTCTAGTAATCTATAGATATTGAAACTATTTTCTTTCTTTTGGTGCCATTTATGGAATTTTCTTGTTTTGTCATACACACATTTGAAATGAAATAAAAATATATGTGAACTACTAAAGATATCTTCGACTACATGCCTCTTTTTAGGAAAGCATTAAATAAAGTCAAGACATTGTCAATTTCACGACATTGACATATTAACGCAACAATATCTAGATGTTTCGAAAGCTCAAAATAAAAAGCCTAGTTTTTCCTCTTTTAACATTCAAAATCCTCGTTGTTTTTTTAAACTAGATATCCTCTTTTTTTTTCAAATCCTCGATGAGATGCCAGGTACGTAATTTGACACATCTCCTTTTGCCCATTGATAGATTAAATAATTATTAAATAGTTCTGAAAGTTTCAACTAAAGGGAACATGTCTTTCTAGAGATATTCAATTTTCAACTCGACTGGATTATTGTGTCTTTCTATACTCTGAAAAAAAAACTGGAGTTTTGCAGAACTATTTTTGATTCTGCAGCATGTATAGAACCATGTTATAGTTCTGTATGATAGTAATAAACCCTCAAAAAGGTTCTGGCCGATAATACTGAATCAAAAAAGGTTCCTGCAAATGATGCTGAACCAAAGTGGTTCTGTACAATAATACTGAACCATGAAATGTTCTCTTTCCAGAAATGCTGAACCTTGTAAAGTTCTGCCAAAAAACACTGAACAACAAAAAGCTCTCTATCTAGAAATGTTGAACGAAAGAGATTCTGCGCAATAATGTTGCACCTTCAAGGGTTCTGTCAAGAAGTGCTGAACCATAAAAAATGCTCTGTCCAAAGATACTGAATCAGAAATAGTTCTGTGAGTTCTGCAGAACTCTTCAGGGTTTCTTAGTCAAAATGCGAAACTATAAAAGGATTTCCGAGAGAAAATGTGGTTCATCATATACTGATCATGAAGCCTTTTCAGAAGCTTGGGTTCAAAACCATTTTTTGAAATGCGGTTTAGGGTACATTCAACAGAACTATATCATGACATATTTTCTCCTTTCTTTTACTTCGCGATACATTATCATATTCTTATTGGACGATTTTTCTCGACGATGGAGAATGATTTTATGCACTGAAGCAATGATGATGGAATGAATTGTCCTCTCTTTATTAACAAATTTACTTTGTTTATATCGTTTAGCTGTGATTTATGCCAGAATAAGATTGGAACAAATCACCACCGTATCCAAAACATCTAGCCTAATCACAATAAATCTGATAACCAACTATAAAAGTATATTAAATCTATGATTTGTGCATAGTATTTTACATGATTTGAAGTAAATTTCATCATGTTTTCCCCTTTGCATTATGTCATTAATGATATACGAACTGAGAAACTTCTACTGCATTCTGTTAACAACATATAATTTTACATATATATAATCTTGTCCACGCCAATAATCTCCAGCCATACACGGCCATATACCGATCAAAAACGACGGTCAGTCTAAACGATACCCCGATGATATCGTAAGGCATCACATACATCTGCTGTCAACGATTTGATATACAATCATCCTTTTCTACTGTGTTTATTTTTAAATAGTCGTTAACATCAACTACAACCACTGATTCAATAGTTAACCAAATATAACAAACTAATTCAAATAACATAATACGCAATAGCTATTCGACTTACATTGTTCAATTCTGCATTCAGCAAATAGGAGTGAGCATGTAACGAAACGAGTATACGTGCATACACAAAGACCTTTGTGCGTAGCTGTACATGTATACCTATCAGAGCACAGATATAAGAATACAGGGTATCTCAAAAGTCCTGATCACTTAATAAATGCGTATAAATCCATTATTGACCGAGCTTAACCCAATAATCTTTTTTTTTATCTGAGAAAGAAGACTTGTAAGTATTTAATCCCAAAAGCAAAGTTCCTAAGTACTTGTTAAAGACTATCACTTCTGACTGCAACATCAAATTTAGCATTTTTTCAGCGTCCAAAAAACGATATACAACGTTTTTTCGTTTTTTAATTGAACTTGCACCGTTATTGTGGACTTTAAAACAATATCATCTCCTATCATAGCTTTATTAGCATTTC